TTTTTTCATTTAAAAATATAATAGAATTATCCCGTATTCTATAAATCATAATCAAATATCATATGTTCCATGTTGCAGACTGACAAGGCTTCAATGCTTGATGAAGTGATTGAATATCTGAAGCAATTGCAAGCGCAAGTTCATGTGATGAGTAGAATGAACATACCAGCGATGGTGTTGCCAATATCAATGCAACAGCAACTCCAGATGTCGATGATGGCTCCAATGGGCATAGGAATGGGGATGGGTATGGGACTAGGTTTCATGGACATCAACACCCTCAGCCGCCCGAACATGGCCGGAATCTCACCCATCATGCCCGCCAATCCATTCATGCCTATGACTTCCAGTTGGGACAGCTCCGCCACTGGCCGGTTACAACCTTCCCCGGCATCAGTGGTGCCGGACCCTTTGTCCCCTTTCCTAGCTTGCCAATCACAGGTATACTAATTTCCTTTTTCTTTTTCTTTTTTTTTAAATGTAAATTTGTAAGTATGAAAAATGGGATTTACAGAAAATTACAACATTTTATCATTTAAGATGTTTGAATTACATATGAAAAGACTTAAATACTCTAAATGAATTAATGCAAAGAAAGTTAATTAAAAAAGATAATAATTTCATGAACAATATTGATATTTTAATTGTTATAATGTTTTTATTTTCACGTTTCTAATGAAAAATAATTGAGATTGTGCCGAATTAATTGCTAATTTGTTATGCAGCCAATGACCCTGGATGCTTACAGCAGAATGGCAGCTATATATCAGCAAATGCAACAACAACAACAACAACAACCGCCGGCTTCTAATTCTAAGAGTTGATTGAGCATCCGCAAATCCTAAAGTTTTTGTGTTCTCTTTGAATTTGTAATATGGCTTCAAAAAACCGACAGCTTTGAATGGAATTGAAACACTCGACTATGTTCATGTATGCTGTGTGTAAAAGTCTATCAAAGATTCAATCCATTAATTCTAAACTTGTATTTTGATTTTGGATCACGATTGGTACACACACATTCGTACTACACTCCCATTGCACATTCCTTTTTCCGTTAACTTTCACACTCCGTTAGTTTCTATTTCACTCTCATCATGTCCCACCTTCTTCCTTTTTTTTTTTTTTTTTTTCTCTTCGAGAACCCAGTCTGGGTTCTCCGTTCTCTAGGAGAACCCAGGTCTAGGTTCCTAGATCGGAGAACCCAAGTTGGGTTCTCCAAAAAAACAAAGAAAAAAAAAAGGAAGAAGGTGGGAACCTGGGAGAGGGCTAGCAATTGTCTTGCAGATGGTTAGGATAAGGATGGAGGTGAGGAGGAAGATGGATCTAGTGAGAACGAAAAGGGTTGGGTGAGTTGGGAGATGGTTGAAGAGGTGGAAATGGAGCTAAGTGTAATGAATGGCAAAAAAACGAAAATTGAAGGGTGTAACGGAGTGTGTGGATAATGAGTGTGCATGCATCATTATCCATAATTTATATGCTAAAATCCACATATAAAAACAAATAACTTTATTCTGAATAAAATATTAATATGAGTAAAATCATATTCAATTACCTTGTACCATTGTAGTTTACTTTAATACAACTTGACGAATCATGGAAACTATAATTCTCAACAATCTTTAGTGCACTTTTAATACGTATACTCTCCATTTGTGGCTAAATGCTTTAACAAAATCCTGAAATTTAATCTTCAAGATGTGTTTCATAGCATATATCATATGCATAATATTATTATTTTTTTGAACAATTTTGCAAGGAGCCGGATTCGAACCATTGCCCAGAGGAGTGGGATGCACTTAAACGCGATTTGATGCCATTGAACCCAAAGGCCCAAGTGCTATGTATAATAATATTCACAAAATGATTTCAAACCAAAAACATGAAAAAAGATATTTTATTAATAATTTATTTGTTAGTAACCATATATCTTTAACCTCCAAATATTGACACATATTTTATGTGTTATATTTAATATGTATTTTAATTTACATGAAATATATTAATATATATGTTTATTATGTAAACAATTATTTGATTTATAAAATCAAACCACATAATAAATATTTTCCATGCACATATAATCATAAAATAAGATTATTTTAATAGATGTTCTTCATGTAAAATCTAATATATTGTGCATAAATATCAATACACAATATCAAAAGGTTTAAAAACCTCCCAATGCTCAATTACCACAAATTATCTAAGTGTTGACACCTTTACATTGTGTTAGACTTGGACAATAGCTTATAATTGGTTATGTGTCAACAACTTCACTCATTGCGAAAGAAACAAGTCCGCGTCGGATTGCATTCCACATGCGTGGCTCAATGGCCACTTGCTGCCTTTTGGGGCAGCCCGTGGTTTGCATCCCATGTCCCGAGTTCAATACCCTCTCTACACACTAACCTCTCTAACACACTAACACCTCTAACCATTGCCCTTCTAAAAAAAAAAAAAAGTCCGCGTCGGATTTTTTTGACCATAATATGCAATTTTTAAAAATGGTAAAATAACAATACTGGTCCCTCAACTTCTATTTTCATTTTCTTTTTAAGTTAGTTGAATTTCTTAACGGATTGAAATACCCATTCCCAATCAACTTCTCTTTTTTTTTTTTTTCTTACTTCCCATTGGGATTCCAAATCCCAAAAAAAAAAGGTTTTTTTAACGTTCGGCGACTTGAAGCAAAAAACCGAACATATTTACACATATTATTATTTAAGGTTTTTCTCATCAAAAATTGCGTTCTAGATCACTTTAGAACAAAGATTGTGAATTCATGCAAACAAGAAATTATGAACCTTATAATAATATTTAGAGTTTCGATTCTTTCAAAAGAGCAATCATTGGCAATATTGGTATCATAGTATGATTTCAAGATAAGATTACATGTTGCCACATCAAGGTAAAGCAATTTTAATCACAGAAAAGCAAAACGATGGCAACAAAATAACTTCAGCAGAATTACAAAGCAAACAATCCATCATATGTTACTGATTGGATGTAGCGGAAAATTAATTAGACCAAATCAAATATTTAATTGATTTCATGGGTTTTAGTTTTAATTTGTGCTTCTTTGATAACACATGTTGGAATTTACTTAAATAATTAATCTCACAAATTAGATCTTAAAACATCAAATCATTCAAATCAGTAATATATGTAATACATAAAATGAATAAATAAATAAATTTTGTACCAAAATCTTCATAATCAATATATTACCTAATAATCTTTAAAGATCTTCAAGAATCATCATAGTTGAAAATTTTATGACAATGGGATTTAGATGTTTCTCTCTCTATTCAACTTTTATATAATGACAACCAATGATCATATCACTCCCTAACTCTATTATTTATTGAAATAAGATTTTCTGGATAGAAAACGCATTATAATAATCTTTTAAGTACTCTCATAAAATAACTTACTTTTAATTTCAAACCCTATACCTATTCATATCACATCCCATCACATCCCACTTAGATGGCGTCATTTTATTGGGTTTCACCGCTTCCCAATTTCGAAAACCAAATTTAATTAGCGGGCAACCCACATGAAAATTTCCGACACCGACATCCTAGGAGGCACAACCAGTTGCACCAGTAGACATATTAATGTTGTACTCACGATGTTGATTATAAAAACGAACAGAATCCCCAGCAACTGAACTCCGATTTGTCTGAATCCAGCGCCCACTTTCCCTGACTGGAATCCATAAAACAGGCCAACGTAGTGCCCGTATGTACCGTAGAACAAGTGTTCAGCCTTTGTTCGGCAAAGAGACAGACTAGGATTTCCCCTATGCTACCGGCGACGGCGTGCGTGTGCAGTGTCATCTACCTTCTGACGAAGCTCCGACTTCTTATGGACGATCATCAATGTGATGATGATCAGTTTTATGGATTGTCAAATAACAAATATATATGCTACAGAAAGAATAAAGAATGGACAGGGAAAGGGAGTAAAGGAATGAATCAGACGGGAGAAAGGATAATTGTTTGAAACTTGAATTCAAATTTTGAATACAAGTGCTTGGCCAAAGAATAAGTCTGTTGGTTTAGACGCGTGTCCAAAATCAAAAGTTTGCTCCTTTTGCTATATAAACACACATCATTAGTTGTAAACATATACTTGACTTCTTGCTTTCCTGCATCTCATCTTTCTCAAATTCTGATTCAAACTTTTATAGAGAAGTTTAGAAGAGAAGTCTTAAGAATTTACTGGTTAAGATTTCGAGTGGTTTCGTCGGATCCTAGAAGTGTTTTTGCCATCAACCCTACAGCAAACTCCAGTCGAGTGGGGGTAAAATTCACCTTAAACACAGTGTATTCAACACACTTTAAAATCACATATTTTAGTTCTTCAATCCACTACCGTTATCATGTGAACCAGGGGATTGAGTCGAAACAGAGCTGCATTATTATTGCTGCTCATCCTTGTACAACTCCTGGAAAATTAATCAAATTGTGTCATGTTCATCAACCCACTTCAGGTTTTTGTAAAAAAAGAAATGATTTTCTTTTTTTTAACCGGCAGCCAGAGTGATGCAGACTAGACCCGTGACCATCCCCTGAACAGCGCCGATGACAGAGGCTTTTCCAAATAACAGGACATCCAGGGAGAAAATGGGATTGTGGGGTTCTTATGGAATTGAGGGATGTGGACGGAAAAGGCAAGAAAAAAATGACTGGATGAAGGGTAGGGAAATGGGACTGTCTTCTTATCTGAGGAGAGGTTGAAGATGTTCGATGGTTTTGGGAATGTGAGGACTGACGA